TTCTCCTTCCTGTGGGGCTGCTGACGTGACAACCCTGAGACGGACGGGACTGGCTTCCGTGTGGCCACACCCTGTGTGTCTGCCCGTCCTGTGGGCGCCTTGCTCCCTCCGTCTGCACAGCCAGAACCAGAGAAAGAAGACGCCATGACCCCCACCCTCACGGCCCTGCTCTGTCTCGGTGAGATCTGAGGAGGGGAGGGGACGCCCTATTCTGGGAGGGGTGTCCCACAGCCAGGCCCTGGGCTGTCAGAGGCCCCAGACTCAGAGGCTCACGGGAGGAGAGGTACTGCTCAGGATTCGGGGCAAACCTCTCACAGGAACTCTCTTCCAGGGCTGAGTGTAGGCCCCAGGACCCGAGTGCAGGCAGGTGAGTCTGTCCCCAGGGGTCCCAGGCCCACCTCCTCACTGGGGACAAGGGTCACCCACCAGGCAGAGGGGATGGAGAACAGCAGTTCTGGGCTGACAGAGGGGGACGTCTGGGGGTTTGGGGCAGAGCTGGGACCTGGGGATGGGGAAGGTCTTGTGTCCCAGCTTCCGTTTCCTTCCAGGAATCCTCCCCAAACCCACCATCTGGGCTGAGCCAGGCTCTGTGATCCCCTGGAGGACCCCTGTGACCATCTGGTGTCAGGGGAGCCTGGGGGCCCAGGAGTACCGCCTGCATAAAGAGGGAAACTCAGGGACCTGGGACAAACAGAAGACACTGGAGCCCGGGGACAAGGCCAAGTTCTCCATCAGATACATGACAGATGTATATGCAGGACGATATCTCTGTTACTGTCTCAGTCCCACTGGCTGGTCAGAGCCCAGTGACCCCCTGGACCTGGTGGTGACAGGTGCGAGCCCACTCAGGGTCCCAGCCCCAGGCTCTGCCCTCAGGAAGGGGGTCTGCTGCCAGGTGTCTCCCTCTCACAGCCCAGCCCTGGGGATGATGTGGGGGATCTGAGCCCCATTTAACACCATCCCCTCCACCTCTCCTAGGATTGCATGACAAACCCAGCCTCATAGCCACGCCCAGCCCTGTTGTGACCTCAGGAGGGAACGTGACCCTCCAGTGTGGCTCATGGGTGGGACTCTACAGTTTTGTCCTGATGAAGGAAGGAGAACGCCAGACCTCCTGGATCCTGGATTCCCAGCCAGCCCCCAGTGGGGGGTCCCAGGCCCTGCTCCCCGTGGGCCCTGTGACCCCCAGCCTCAGGTGGACGTTCAGATGCTATGGTTATTACAGCAACACCCCCCAGGTGTGGTCACTCCCCAGTGACCCCCTGGAGCTGTTGGTCTCAGGTGAGGGAGTCTGATTATTGCCCTATCCATATTTTGAGGCACCAGACAGGTTGTGGGGGCTCTGCTCCCAGGGAGCCCCAGATGAGAGTGTGGAATGGGGGACAACAGGCCCTCACAGGTCAGAGACACTGAAGGTGATGGACAGTGAGACCCGGGGGTCAGGACGGGAGAAGGGAGGTTTGGGGAGAATAATCAGCCCCTGCAATCCACGGCGGGTCTCTCCCAGGTGTGTCGGGCAAGCCCTCCCTCCTGACCCAGCAGGGCCCTGTCGTGACCTCTGGACAGAGCCTGACCCTCCAGTGTCGCTCTGATGTTGGCTACGACAGATTCGCTCTGTCCAAGGAGGGAGCACGTGACCCTCCCCGGCGCCTTGGCCGGCAGCCCCAGGCTGGGCTCTCTGGGGCGAACTTCGACCTGGACCCTGTGAGTCCCTCCCACGGGGGCCGGTACACATGCTATGGTGGACAGAACCTCTCCTCCGCGTGGTCGGCCCCCAGTGACCCCCTGGACATCCTGGTCGCAGGTGAGATGCCACAGGTCAGTCAGGACCCCAGACTCCGCACAGCTCCTGCCAGGGGGGCCCCAGGTGGTGGTGGTGGGACCAGAGGTGTGGGGTCCCCAGGGAGGGAGAGAGACAGAGACAGGGAAGGGAGAGACCCAGAGGACACAGACAGACTCAGTTCAGAACAAGGGCTGGACAGCCCCTCACCCGCCCTTCCTCTCCTAGGACAGCTCCCCTACAGACCCTCCCTCTCAGGGCAGCCAGGACCCATGGTGACCTCAGGACAGAATGTGACCCTGCTGTGTCAGTCATCGAGCTCTGTGGATACTTTCCTTCTGTCCAAGGACGGGGCAGCCGATCCCCCGCTGCGTCTTAGATCAAAGCACCGAGCTGGGCAGCACCAGGCTGAATTCTCCATGAGTCCTGTGACCTCAGCGCACGGGGGGATCTACAGGTGCTACGGCTCACTCAGCACCTCCCCCTACCTGTTGTCACAGCCCAGTGACCCCCTGGAGCTCCTGGTCTCAGGTGAGAGACCCCTGACCCTGACCTTTATGAGCTCGGTCAGCTCAAGATGCACGCGTCAGGAAAGCCTGACACAGTAGCAAATGTGGGGGTCACGGGGGCTCCCGGAGGAGGGTCCATCCCAGGGGAGCCCAGAAAGATCCACAGCCTCCACCGGGGTTCCCCTATACTGCCGTCTCAGCAGAGGTAAGGAGGAGGGGGCTGCAGGAGGGTGGGGGAGTGAGAATGATCGTGAGTAGACAGAGGCCTCCCACTCACCTCCTGCCCCCTCCATATCAGAATCTGATCCGTGGTGTCAGCCCCATAGCACACTGTCCTAGAGAGAAACCTCCCCGCCTGCAGGCTCCGCTCTGCTGCCCCCTGTGCTCTCCTGGGGCCTCCCTGCCCCTCGGTGCACCCCGGAGACGGAGGAGGGGCCGTGCCCGGCTCACGGGAGTCCCCAGGGTGCTGCACCGTGAGCCCGTGTGCAGCTGGTGTCCACTGGGCACTGTGTGTGGACGCTTGTCCAGTGCCCCTGTGCCTGCTTCTCACACCTTCTAGAGCAGCACCTGCAGACATGATGACAAAGGGAACTCAGGTGACAGGGATGCAGACTCAGAAACAAGTCACCCTTCTCCGGTGCGCACGGGGTTAGATCAGATTCCCACATGCCTCGTGGGGAAGAACTTCTGGGCACTACCGAGTCTTAGCACATTTTCAACGAGTCTCATTTATTTATTTATTTCCTGCGTAAAATTCAGCGATTCCTCACTTACATGAACTTCATAGCCTTTGAACTTTTTTCGTAAAAGTGGTGTCAATCCGCAGTCTGTTCTATGAACTTCTTACTTACTTTAATACCAGATATGTCAGTTGTCTGCATAATAGTTCACTATACCTAAGAGAGCTATGGGTGTGGGCATATCTTTATGTGCTGTGAACTCACTACGCTCTTTGCCTTTCAACCATTTCTCAATACGCTGCTCAAAATTACACACGGAAATTTCACTTTCTCGTTTCCAAAATGCACACCTGTGTTTCTTACTTCAAAGGACAGAGGAAAATGTCCTGAAGCTTCACCTCAGGGAAACAGCTTGATTTATATCCAAAATTTATTTTAAAGCAAGCTCATTAGAAACCTCTTTTTATTTTTTAAAATTTTTTCTTAAAATTTTATTATGTTATGTTAGTCACCATACATCATTAGTTTTTTTCTCTTTCAATTTTTTATTGTTATGTTAATCACCATACAGTACATCATTAGTTTTTGATGTGATGATCCACGATCCATTGTTTTCATATAACACCGAGTGCTCCATGCAGTACATGCCCTCCTTAATACCCATCACTGGGCTAAGCCATCCCCCCATCCCCCTCCCCTCTAGAACCCTGTTTGCTTCTCAGAGTCCATAGTCTCTCATGGTTCATCGCTCCCTCCGATTCCCCACCCCTTCGTTTTTCCCTTCCTTCTCCTAATGCCCTCCATGCTATGGTTTCACTTATTTGTGGAACATAAGGAAAAGCATGGAGGACATATTTTTTTTTAAATTTTCTTATGTTATGTTAGTCACCATACAATACATGATTAGTTTTTGATGTGGTGATCCACGATCCATTGTTACTATTTTTATATCAAAAGCACTGCCGACCTATCCATTTCAGCCCATTTTCCTGCTTCATTAGGGTTTTATTAAAAATGTGATCTTTTCCTGAAAGATGTACATCTCCTGAACAACTATTTTTCTCTTTGATTTTGAGCCATATGAGGCTCTTTACAAAGGCTTCCTGGTTTCCGACATTTGGGTGTTCACCCAACTGCATAACGTTTACTGTTCACTCGTATTTTCTGAACTGTATAAGCTAATATTACTTTGACTATTTATATGAATCTTTATAATTAGGATTGGTTCATATTTTGTTTTTCCTTTTTTTTTTTTTACTGTTTTCTTTTCATATGAAAACTAGGTTAAGAGATGTCAAAGATTTCCCAGTTTGGGGGTTCCCTCCATAGTAAATTCCACCAGCTCTCTCCTTTCCTGGAGGTTAGAAATCCACACGGAAGGACTTCCTCAGGTCTGGCCTGTGATATAGTGGGGACAGAGGTTGCCTTTTCAATGCAAATAAAACGATTAACTATCCCTACTTGAAACCTCACCAGATTGCTAGAGTTTGTCCCCAAACAGTGAGATGAGGATGGAGACTCCTCCTTCTGGGCACGCGTCCCTGATCTGCCTCCAATTCCCCAAAGCCTGAGTCCACACCCTCCTGTCCCCTGCCCACCCCCACACGCCACAGACTCGAGTGTCCTCCTGTTGAGGGACAGACAGACTGTACCTCTCTCTCTCTCTACACAGAAAGATATAGATATCAGTACATATACACCTGATTATGCATTTATATTATATCTGCTATTTTACAAATAAACATGGTTATAAAAATCCATACATATAATCTATGAGTGTAAAACATATATACATCTATATCCATGTATATGTATCTGCAGCCATTGGTCCTCATGCCCATCATCTTCATCCCATAGCTTTTCACATGTTTGTAGCTGGTCTTCCTGTCTAGATCCACACTGCAAGCAAGGAATAATGGTATTCATATGACCCAATGACTGAACCTCTTTAGGAGATACATATTAATTTGTTTGATGTAGATGTGTGTATACACATCTATCTATCTATCATCTATCTATCTATCTATCTATCATCTATCTCTCTATGTGTCTAGCACCGTAGGTATTTCTAACTATATGAAGAATGAATTAATGAACACATCCAAGAATGAATACTCTAGGTACAGATTAAAATGCAGATCCCAAAGGAAGGGAGCTGGTTGATATGGAGCTAAGGGGACCCTGCCCCAGACATTGGCCCTTCTGTGCTCCTGACAGTCAGGAGCCCCTGACACTAGCCCTTCATCCATGGACGCTGGGTCCTCAGCTACTGAATAAGTGGGAACTCTCATCTGCAGGGACATGAGCACAGGAGGTTTGTGTCCCAGACTGAACAGAGAGCATACAAGGACATGATGATTTCTGTGTTGGGAGGCCATTTTTCTCTGCAATCCTGAGCTCCTGGGGCACAGTCAGAATCTATCCAGAATGACTCAGAGCAAAGTCTGAAACCAAGGAAAACAAGGAGGCTGAAGGAATCCAGCGAGGAGAGCAGAGAAAACTCTGCTAGTGCAGAGAGGGGCTAGGTCAGGAACTGTACAAAAACTGCATAGGGACAAGTTGAGGGAGATAGAACACAGAGCAGAGGGCAGGCCAGACGGGGGTCTCCAGCTCCTTCCATCTGCTTCCATCTTCCCTGCAGGAACAGCTGACACCCTGAGCCCACCCCAAAACAATTCAGACCCCAGCAGTGGTAAGTAGAAGAATGTCTCAGTGATGGGGCTGGGATGGAGGGGGTGTCCTGTCAGGGGGAGGTGGGTGTCCTGGGTGGATATCCAGGATCTGGGTGATTTGGGTCCACACTGACCTCTGCAACCTCTCTGTCCTCATTCTTAGCCTCAGATCACAGGGATTACACGGTGGAGAATCTCATCCGCATGGGCGTGGCTGCCTTGATCCTGCTGGTCCTTGGGATTCTGCTACTAGAGGCTCAGCACAGCCAGACAAGGACCCCAGATGCAGCCAGGAGCTAAACACAAGGGGGAGCAAACACACCATTCCCTGTGGCAGACCTTTGGACATCAATCTGATGTGCCCAAGGGGATCCGGAAGAAAGCCCACAGCTCATGCTAGCTGATCTGCGTGCTGAGCACATCCAGGGGGAAACATGGTTTAGATGCCAGGAAATGTCTGGGCTGTTCTCAGTCCAGGACTCGCCCCCCATGAACTGTGGTGCTTTCCCTCCTGCCATTGTTGGACATCCTCGACTGCCCCCCTGTCTTTCCCCATCCCTGTGGTGTGAGGGTTTGTCCCACACAGCGGAGTTGCGTTCATACCTTCTTACAGCAGCAGCTCTGGTCCACCTTCGTGGGATACATTTTCCTTTACTTTCCATTTCCTCATTCCCAGAGGTGCACTATGGACCTCATCCCTTCAGCCAAAAACACAAAATCTGTTTTCATAAGTAAATAGATGGGTGAAAATCAGGTCTGCTTTGGAACACATGAATCCAAAACCTTTCCCTAAACCCTCTCTGGACTCATAGAGCTCTCCTCTCTCATGCAATGACACGTGGCAGAGTTTTCCAGAAATACCATCATTTTGAGGGAGCTCAGGGGTGTTTGAAGTGAAGCCTGGTGGTGAGCTACTATACTTATTCCAAGATATAAATGGTTTTTAAAAAAGTTCTGATTCATGGCATTTGCCTATTTCTTTGGTGTAAACACTCCCGTCATGGCCAAAGTCAAGATGCCATGTGAATGCACAGTGTGCCCAGGTGGGAGTCATGGATACAGCATCTTTCACAAGTGAGTGTGATCCAGCTGTGGATGCATCTCACTGGTGACCCCGATGTGCACGTGTGCCTCCTTCCATTTTAATGATCCTGGTATTTTCCAGCTCCCTGGAGAGAGAAAAAGGTGGGGCCCTTGAAGAAGTACCCCCATTTCCTCTAGGGCTCACAATGCACCAGGGTCCTAGATATGCTGACCCATTTCCATGGCAATGAGTATACAACCCTCCATGCCTGCAGAAAGAGGGATGCTCTGAGCTCCAGGATAAACATGCTCTATGAGATCCCAGAGTAAGACAGCAAGCCCCAAGCAATGACTGTGGGTGTTGCAAATGCCCCCAACAGAAAGTGCCCCTGGGGGTGGAGATGCCAGGTCAGGGGGCACCACGAACCACTCTTACACTCTGTGCTTTGCCCTCAGGCTGGACAGCGGCCTGTGTCTCCATATGAAGCCCATCTACCCCCTGTGACCTCAAGTACCATAGGGACAACACCTGGGTCACGGTGCTGCTGAGTCTCACAGTAGCCCCATAGACAACTCTCTACAGGCTGTTCCATACCCTTCAGATAACAAGGTGACATGCGATTTGTTTTAAGTGCAACAGATAATTTAGCTCTCACATAAACCTCAGGAGGACATTACCGATCTCATCCACATTTCCACAATGAATGCCTTGGGATTGCTGGAGATGGCGGGAAAACGGTGAGATAGGAGAGCCCAGCGTCCCAGTCTCCTGACAAAGATGGAGGATTGGACAGCTATCCATGAACAAAAACAGCTCTGGGAGACAGAAAGACTGAGATTAGTCTCACAAGAAAGGAAGGAAGACACTGTCATTTGCTAGCATCTGCCCATCCCTTGGGCCAGCATTATGCAGTGCCAGGGCTCCTGCCCAGCCTGAAAGAGCTCTTTCTCCAGGGAAGGCAGGAGAGGCTGACTGGCCAGCTTCTCCCACCTCTGGGGCACTGTGCAAAGGTCCCACTTGGATGTGACCCCCACTCCAGACTGGCAAGGCTAAGAGCACTAAGCCAGCTAGGAGCATGGACGAAGAGCAGAGGCTATGTTAGCAATCCTGGTTCACAGAGGCCAGGTCTGCAGAAAACTCAGCAGATTGCACCACTGATGAATGTAAGCGGTCTTGCCAGCTTTCACCCTACGGGTGTTTGCATTCACTGATGCCAGCCTCCAGAGTCCCTCCCCACCCCCACCGGTGCCCAGGAGCCACACTAGCAGCCAACTTAGACTTCCGTAGCTGTGTGAGAACAGGACACCAGTCAGGGCCTCCCTGGCTAACCCCACCACCATGCCCACAATCAGGGTTAGCCCCTCCAGCTGTGCACCTGCATGTCACGGGTCTAACTCCTATCACCAAGCTGCACTGCAGTACGCATGCTCGTCGAGAGAGCACACTGACAGCCAGGACCCACACAGCTGCTGGCAGACCTGGATCAGGCCCCTGCCTCTGTCACTGGGCAACACCACTGTGCCTGCCTGTGGCTAACCCCTCTAGCTGTGTACTTGCATACCCAAGCCCAACCCTGTCACTGGCTTCCCTGCAGTGTGCATGCCTGGGGGAAGAATGTACATACAGCCAGAGTCTCTGCAGCTGAGTGTGTGCACACCACCAACTCCAGCCACCCCTGCTGCCTTCCCTGGTCCCTAGCTACTGGGCCTGGAGGCACTGCTTATGATCACACCAGCCCTTGTAGCCTCTAGATCCCCTACAGTGCTCGCCAAGGACCACACTGTTGTTGATGCTGTGGAAGGACCCACGTACTGTGAGCCAAAGACACATGACATCCCCCAGGATCTGGTGACATCACACACCCCTGCACTTGGCACTCTGCACCACTAGCCCCAGGGTCAAGATCCAGTGTGCCCCCACCTGCAGAAGAAAGACTTCCCAAAGTTAGCAGAAGGAAAGTTTCTCAAAAGATAAACAAAACTGACAAAACTTTAGCTAGACTATCTCAGAAAAAAATGAGAAGACACAAATAAGTTAAACCAGAAATGAAAGAGGAGATGTTACAACTGATACCACAGAAATGCCTAGGATCATAAGAGACTGCTATGAACAGTTAAACACCAACAAACCAGACAATCTGGGAAAATGGATAACTTATTGTAGACACACAATCTATTAAGACTGAATCAGGAAGAAATAGAAAATCTGAACAGACCAATAATGAGTAAGGAGATTGAATCAGAACCACAAACCTCCCAGCACACCTGTCCCAAAGACCAGGACAAGATGGTTTCCCTGGTGAATTCTACCACACATTTAAAGAAAAATTAATGCTGATTCTTCTCCAACCCTTCCAAATAACTGAAAAGGAAGGAACTCTCAAGCTAATTTTATGAGATGAGCACTACCCTGATATCAAAGTCAGATAAGCACAATGCAGGAAAATAAAATCACAGACCACTATTCCTGATGAATTATAGGTGCAAAAATTCTGAACAAAATATTAGCCATCCAAATTCAATGACACATCAAAAGGATCATGCACTGTGATCAAGTGGGATTTATCCATGGGGCCTGAGGATGGTTCAACAATCACAATCAATAAATGTGAAACATCATATTAATAAAATGAATGATAAAAATCACATAATCGTCTCAATAGATGCAGAAAAATGTGTTTGAAAAAAACACAACATCCTTTCATGATAAAAACGCTCAACAAATTGGGTATAGAAGGAACACAATAAAGGCTATATATGACAAGCCCTCAGCTAGCATCATACTCAATAGCAAATACCTGAAAGCTTTTCCTCTAAGATCAGGAACAAGACGAAGATGTCCACTCTCACCACTCCTATTCAACATGGTATTGGAAGTCCTGGCCACAGCAATCAGACAAGAAAAAGAAATATAAAGACATCCAGATCACAAAGAAAGAAGTAAAATGGTCTTGGTTTGCAGATTATATGATGTTATATAGAGAAAATCTTGAAGACTCCACCAAACATCTTTAGAACTAATCTACAAACTCAGCAAATTTGCAGGATAAAAAATCAACATACAGAAAACAAGTCCATTTCTATACACCAATGACACAATATCTGAAAAAGAAATAAAGAAAACAATTTCAGCTGCATCTACTGTGAGAATGAAGACCATTCTCAGTAATCAGACTGTTGACATTCCAGAAAATGTCGACATCATTCTGAAGGAACACACTGTTATTGTGAAGGGCCCCAGAGGAACCCTGTGGAGGGACTCAGTCACATCAGTGTAGAACTCAGTCTCCCAGGAAAGAAAAAGAAGAGGCTCAATTGACAGATGGTGGGGAAATAGAAAAGAACTGGCTACTGTTTGCACTATCTGTAGTCACGTACAGGACATGATCAAGGGAATTAAAGGGACTTCTGTAACAGGATGAGGTAGTTGTATGCTCACTTCCCCCATCAATATTGCTATTCAGGAGAATCGTTTTCCTATCAAAATCCAAAATTTCTTGAGTGAAAAATATATCCGCAGGGTTTGGGTGAGGCCAGGTGTTGCTTGTTCAGTATCTCAAGCCCAGAAAGATGAGTTAATTCTTGAAGGAAATGACATTGAACTTGTATCAAATTCAGCTGCTTTGATTCAGCAAGCCACAACAGTTAAAAATAAGTATCACCAAAAAATTTTTGGATGGTATCTATGTTTCTGAAAAAGGAACAGTTCAGCAGGCTGATGAACAAGATCTAAATTATCCAGCTACAGAAACAAATAGATGCCAGATGATTTTTCAGACTTATTTGTGATATTTTAAAGATACAATAAAAGCTATATTGATGTGGGGGGCAAAAAGAAAACAATTTTATTTACAGTAACATCAAGATAATAAAATATTTGGGAATAAATTTAACCAAAGGCATAAAAGCTATACTCTGAAAACCATAAGACTTTGATGAAAGAAAATGAAGAAGACACAAATGGAAAGATGTCCCATGTTTATGGGTTAGAAGAATACTATTGTTAAAATATCTATACTACCCGTATTGTCCAGATATGCATGTTAGCCAGATATCTATAATAATGAGAACGGATAAATACATGTTGATATACTCATGCAAGAAATATTATATTGCAGTCCAAAACAATGCAATGGAACTATAAAAATTGATATGTGTGTATCATAGCAATATAAATTGAAGTACAAAAAAGAGGGCATGTGTTGTGATGAGCACTGCGTGTTATAAACAACTAATGAATCATTGAACACTATATCAAAAACTAATGATGTCATGGATCACTACATCAAAAACTAATGATGTATTGTATGATGACTAACATAACATAATAAGATTAAATTAAATTAAAAAAACTAATGATGTACTATATGTTGGCTAACTGAACATAATAAAAAAAGATACAAAAGCTGATAATTTTAAAAATTTGAAACAACTGTATACGTGGGTGCATACATGTATGTGTGTACAAACATATTTTATATTTATTACAATGACATATTTTACAAGGAGAGATAAGTGCTTTAAAACTGTATTTACCCACCTCACACCAGTCAGAATGGTGAAAATTAACAAGTCAGGAAACGACAGATGTTGGCGGGGATGCGGAGAAAGGGGAACCCTCCTACACTGTTGGTGGGAATGCAAGATGGTGCAACCACTCTGGAAAACAGTATGGAGGTTCCTCAAACAGTTGAAAATAGAGCTACCATACGATCCAGCAATTGCACTACTGGGTATTTACCACAAAGATACAAATGTAGGGATCCGAAGGGGTATGTGCACCCCAATGTTTATAGCAGCAATGTCCACAATAGCCAAACTGTGGAAAGAGCCAAGATGTCCATCGACAGATGAATGGATAAAGAAGATGTGGTATATATACACAATGGAATATTATGCAGCCATCAAAAGGAATGAGAGATCTTGCCATTTGCAACGACATGGATGGAACTAGAGGGTGTTATGCTGAGTGAAATAAGTCAGTCAGAGAAAGACATGTATCATATGACCTCACGGATATGAGGAATTCTTAATCTCAGGAAACAAACTGAGGGTTGCTGGAGTGGTGGGGGGGGGGAGGGATGGGGGTCGCTGGGTGATAGACAGTGGGGAGGGTATGTGCTATGGTGAGGCTGTGAATTGTGCAAGACTGATGAATCACGGATCTGTACTTCTGAAACAAATAATGCAATATATGTTAAGAAAAAAAAAGAAGAAGAAGAAGATAGCAGGAGGGGAAGAATGAAGGGGAGTAAGTCGGAGGGGGAGACGATGGACTCTGAAAAACAGACTGAGGGTTCTAGAGAGGAGGGGGGTGGGGGGATGGGTTAGCCTGGTGATGGGTATTAAAGAGGGCACATTCTGCGTGGAGCACTGGGTGTTATGCACAAACAATGAATCATGGAACACTGCATCAAAAACTAATGATGTAATGTATGGTGATTAACATAACAATAAAAAATTATTTAAAAGTCAAAAAAAGTTAAAAAAAACTGTATTTACAATGCATAGTGGAAAATTTCCTACAAATTTCAAGACATGGGGTTAAAGAAGGAGATGGGATAAGGGCAAAATATGTAGGTAGATTATGTTATGTGGTCATTGCAATCTTCTTGTTTTAAGTTGGAATGTGTTACTATTTTGGGTTTTTCTTCATAAAATGTTTTGGGGTGAGTTTTTTGACATTCTCAATTGGCTGTTAGAAAGTGAATTTCCTATAGCATTATATTAATGGATATTTATATTTATATAAAATTGAGATATATAGATATATACAGATAAACACAGATGAATTTTGAGTTTGGATTCCTGGGTCATAAGGTGAATTTCAGGTAAAACCATAAGATCCAGAATTTACATGCATTGTTCTTTGCTAATAAAGTGAAATTCTATGATTCTAAATAACCGCATAATCCTTCTACAGGTAAATTAAATAATTTTTAACAAGTATTTAATCAATACTAGAAATATCAGCTTAGAAAACCATTTTGAGGGGCGCCTGGGTGGCTCAGTTAGTTAAGCATCTGCGTTCAGCTCAGGTCATGATCCCAGGGTCCTGGGATCGAGCCCCACATCGGGCTCCCTGCTCCGCGGGAAGCCTGCTTCTCCCTCTCCCACTCCCCCTGCTTGTGTTCCCTCTCTCGCTGTGTCTCTCTCTGTCAAATAAATAAATAAAATCTTTAAAAAAAAAGAAAGAAAATCATTTTGATTTATACATTCTAATTCTTTTTATAATAGTATCTACTAGATATGTTGCATATTACATATGAAGATTTTGAGGCTTAAATTTAAAAAAAATACTATCATTTCATCATTCTGAGTATGAGGGACAGTGTCTGAGATGTGTTTCAAGTCTGACCACAGTAAATGTTGCAACACGACAGGTGCAGTCTAAACAATTTCCAGGAAGCTTGATTTTACCCTTAGCTGAGCCCCCACACCCACCTATATGCAGAGTAAAAAGAGCCTCTATGCATCACCTTTCCTTATTGCGGTCAACTTATGAATGTGAGCTGGGCCCCATTTCACAACATCCTGTGTACTTGTCAACTCTGTTCAGCAGAAGCAGCGCCATGTCACCTGTGGTCATCAGCCTCACAAGTCTGGGTGAGTCCCAGAAGGGGATGAAGGGAGGGAATACATGGTGGAAATATTGGCCTGGAATGTTGGGTCTCCCCACAGCAGAACATTCCCATGGGGGCAAAGCAGACCTTGATGGTGAAGCTCAGGCCAGGTCGGGGAAGGAATGGGGGAAGCCACTTCTTCTGTGAAGATGGACCATCCATCATGAGTCTTTCTTTCCAGTGTTCTTCTTCATCCAGAGGATCTGGGCACAAGTGGGTGAGTCCTTTCCCCAAACCCTGGGCTGCCGTCTACTCAGAATAAGAGAATTCCTATAACAGGAAGGCAGATGGCACAGGAGGTTAGGTGATGGGTTGACTGTGGGAGGCCTTGTGGGTGAATCTCTTGTGAACTACAAAGTGGGGGCCCAGGGAAACCCTAGCCCCAATTCTGGTCCAGAGACCCTCCCTAGACCCTCTTCCCCTTGGCTGAGACAGGCTCTAAAGCCATCTTAGGGACACTGCTGCTCAGAGCTAGGGTGTCTGGGAGGAATTGGTGCCGTCTGTAGATCAGGGGATGCAAGCAGTGTCAGGAACAACAGACTGTCTGAGGTCGGGACAACGACTCAAGCTCCCCAACACAGACCCCTGGAATTCCACCACATTCTGATGCAGCTCTGTCATGTAACGTGCTTCATGTGTTTGCCGATGTTATGGCATACACATAAGTCATTACTCTCCTGTTCAGTGTCTACTTTGTCTTCTTTTACACAACAACTTACATTATCAACACCTAGTAAGAGCCCACTGTTCAGTACTCACTCAGAACTCTCAGCCGACATGTTCGTTGTAGGAGATGCCATGTTTGTGTGGTGTGGGGAGTCTTCGTGTGGTGTGGGCACCCCGGGTTTGGAAAGGAGCCTTAGAGACCTGGAAAGAAGGGGAGCCTCTGAGCCAGGGGAGGGGAGACCAATGCTGTGCCTCCTCCTCTCCCAGGTGGTCAGGACAAGCCCTCCCTATCTGCCTGGCCAAGCCCCGTGGTTCCTCAAGGACAGCATGTTACTCTTCAGTGTCACTCCCATCACAAGTTTGACACATTCAGACTGTACAAGAACAACAGCATCTTCATCTCCAAGCTCCACAGCACAATATTGCAGAGCACCTTCCTCATTGGCCCTGTAACCCCAGCACATGCGGGGACTTACAGATGTTGTGGATCCTATCTCGGCTCCTCTTCTGTGTGGTCAGAACCCAGTGACCCCCTGGTGATTGTGGTCACAGGTCAGAGAACACTTGTCTAGAGGGGCTATTCACTGTCCCAATCTTCCTAATGTCAGAGTTTCCTGGTGGGAGTGTCAGTCAGGTCCAATTAGAACAATAGGAGCTGCTCCAAGTATTTTAAATAAAAGGGCGTTTCATGCAGGTGGGCAGAATAATGACCCCCAATGATGTCTATATCATAATACTCCAAGTCTATGAATAGGCCAAGGGCAATTAAGGTTGAACGTGGAATTAAGGTTATTAAGCAGGTGACCCTGACATGGGGAGATTATCCTGGATTATCCAGGTGGGCTTATTGTAATTACAAGGGTAGAAGGAAGCAGGAGAATGAGCTTCAGAGTCATGCAGCATGAGAAAGACTCACCAGCCATTGCTAGTTCTGATGATGGAGGAAGGAGGCACAAGACAAGGAATACAGGCAGCCCCCAGGAGCTGGAAAAGGCACAGGCATGAATTCTCCCCTTGAGGCTCCAGAAGGAATGCAGTCCTGCCGACCCCTTCCTTGGTCCTAGCCCATAAGACCCATGTTGGACTTCTGACATCCAGAACTGTAAAACGACAAATTTGTGTTCTTTCCAGCCATCATGTTCATAACAATTTCTCACAGCAGCTAGGTAATCATTACAGATACCCAGGTGAGGGACAAATTAGGAAATGAAACAGAGGAAGCGAGACTATACCCAGCAATAGGTAAGAGCAGGATGTTGATGCCACCACTAGGCTGCAGTGACAGGGAGCGGGTGGTGTTCCTGGAGCCACCTCAGGGGTGCCTGTGGAAGCTGGGACCATGGAGAAGGCACAGACACGGCAGATGTGCCCCTCCCCGCGAGTCACGGGCTGGGTGGACACTGGAAGTTACTGTGGTACCTGCGTTACTGCTTAATTCCTCCCTCCTACCAGGGATTCCAGTTCATCACACAGGGCAGGAATTGGTCGGTAAGAGAGCCTGGAAACACAGCCCGCGGTGCCAATCTCCCACCCCCACCAGAGAAAGCAGAAAAGGAATCTGTGGGAAACAGGTGCAACACTGACAGTGCCAAGGATGAGCGCAGTGGGAATGGAGTCTGGTGCTGATGCTAGACACAGAGACACACAGCAAAGGAGGGGCAGAGACAGATGGGGACATTCAGACAGAAAAGGACACAGAGAAGAAGGAGACAGACAGACAGGGGCACCCTCACTCATTTCAGATGACAGGGAATCGGGTGAGGCAGGGTGGCTCCTTCTAAATTTACAACATCCATGTTCTTAGGAATCTACAGAAAACCTTCTCTGTTAGCCCAGCCGGGTCCCCTGGTGAAATCAGGAAGGAACTTGACCTTGCATTGTTGCTCTGAGATCGTGTTTGAAAGCTTCATTCTTCACAGAGCAGGGGTATCCAAGGACACTTTGTACCTTGCTGGTCAGCGCCATCTTGGGGGCTCCTATGCTAACTTCTCCATGGCTCCTGTGACAGCTGCCCATGCGGGGACCTATAGGTGCTTCTGTTCTCTCAATCACTCCTCCCATGAGTGGTCTGCCCCCAGTGGGCCCCTGGACATCATGATCACTGGTGAGACTGTCCAGACCTGCCCCCATCCTCTTTGGGATACAGACAGGATGTTCTAAGACCTGGAAGTCCCAGGTGGTGAAGAAGGAGATGAATATGGGTTTTTATGAAGAGAGACAGCCTTGGTGAGAGGATACCAAGAGAGACAATGACAGAAGAGCAACAGTAGAAACCGTTTGTTATAAAGGACAGATAGGGGGCAGAAACAGGGAGTCAGTAATGGAGATAAAGAGCAAAGGGACAGATAGAGATGGGCACACCCACATCAGAGACAGCGTGCTCTTTCACTCTGAGTTTGTTCAGAGGCCTGGGACAGTTTAGAACATGGTTTCCAATAAATCTCCACACCCTCTTCTCTACCAGGAGAATCCAAGGACACACCACATATGTGACGAAGTTTCAGGGCCAGGCTGACCTGTCTCAGGCTGATGGCCCATGGGCCCCGGGTCCTCACTCCATGTGGCACCCACAGATGCTGTGTTCACTCTGACATGACTTCATCCCATGTAGCTGAGTCACAATATGCCCCAGGAAACCATGGTCCCAGGTGGAGGAGCCAGATACCAGCTCCTATATGTGGTGTGTTTTGTGGGTTCCCAAAGCTGTTTCCCAGGCCCATGTTGAAGGTCACCCCAGATCTTACAGGATTACTGAGATCAAAGCCTACAGAGAGATGCAATCAGAGAGAAAGCAGAGTTGATGTATTCAATGTACATAGAAAGTTTCTATGTGAATAGACCCAGAAATGCATGTGTGCACATGAACACGCACACATAGAATGGAGGGATGACAAATACAGATGGATAAACAGACACTGGCTCAGACACACAAAAAACAAAAGAAAGAAAAAGGGATAGAGAAATAGAGAGAAAGACGGAGAGGGCAGATAAAAGCCTTAAAAGACTGAGACCTGAGTGTGGGGCACAAAGAGAAAGATGATGATGTGGGGCTGGGTGACAGAGATCCCAAAAGAGGACTGGGGACAGAGAAGCAGAGCAAGTCACAGAAACCAAGGTGATGGAGATAGATGATAGATAGGGAGATAGAGAGAGCCAGACGATAGATAGATGATAGATAGATGATGATGATAGATAGATAGATGATAGATAGATAGATAGATAGATAGATAGATAGATAGATAGATGATAGATAGATAATAGACAGATAGATGATAGATAATGCAGAAAGATAGTGACAAGGCAGAATGAGAGACTCAGAATGAAAGAAAAGGCAGATCAAACCAACAGATCCCAGGAGAGACAGAGAGAGTAAGGCAGTGCAAAAGTGAAAAAGAACAGGAGGGAGGCAAGGACAGGAAGCAATAGGAGAGGTAGACAGGAGGGGCCACAGTGGGCTTTGGGCTCTGGGAACAGGGAGAGGGAATTCTTAGTCCAGGTGTAAAGGACACAGTGAGCAAGGAAGAGCCTCTCTGACTGAACTGCCTCCACTTCCTCCAGGTCTACACCAGAAACCTTCTCTCTGGGCCCAGCCGGGCACTGTGGTGAGGTCAGGAGAGAACGTGACCTTGTCCTGCTGCTCGGAGAGTTCCTTTGATGTGTACCATCTATCCAGGGATGGGCAGCCCCATGAGCTCTGGCTTGCTAAGGGGCAGAGGCACGGTGGTGCATCCCGGGCTGACTTCACTCTGGGCCCTGCACACCCAGCCCTGGGTGGGACCTACAGATGCTACGGTTCTTTCAACCCCTCTCCCTACGAGTGGTCAGGCCCGAGTGACCCACTGTACCTTTCTGTCACAGGTAAGGAAGCCCAGAACGTGCTCTGTGTCCAGTGATTCAGGATAGATTTGAAGGCCATATGTGAGGGGCATCCTGCTGGTACCAGGGGGATGCTTAGGAGTTCTGGGGAGACAGAAACATAGATAAAGAAACAGGGAGGAAGAGACTGAGGACTCACCTCCAGCATCCTCCTGCATGGATTGTGTGGAAACCAAAACTGGGGGTCTGTGTCCCCAGGAAGATGGAAAGGGGTCAGGGCAGACCCAGGAGCAGGGGAGAAGGGGCTCAGTTTGGGGAGATCAGAGGTTGCATTGGCCTGTCACCCTTACCCGCTTCCTAGCAGCCCCTCCTCACCTCATGCCTGCAGAGTGGTCTCCCAGGTGGTACAGGTGTCTTTACAGCAAGATCGAGAAGCCTCCTCTTAAGTAGAGGCCCCTTTCATCCTCAACCTCTCCCATCTCCTCTCTGCAGCTTGAAGTCTCAGGGAGTCAAGGCCCCAGAGATTCTGGGGAGAGGTCCCAGGAGCTCCCAGCAGCTCAGTGTTAGATGACAAAGAGCTTCAGTGGGTAGAAGACGGTCAGTTCCACCTCCCCCCCTTCCCCTGGCTTGTTTTTTAGGAAACTCTTCAAATAGTTGCCTCCTATCCACAAAACCAACCCCCCAAACTGGTGAGTAAAGGATCCCTTTTATCCAAACCTGACAGAGAGAAGCCTTGGGTTTGAGGGTTGGCTCGGCCACCTTCAGCTCTGTGATGTTGGGCTTGTTACCTTCCCAGTCTGATCCCCAGACTCTACAACAGCAGAAGGGTTTGGGTCAGCGTGGGGCTGGTGAAGACTCTTAACTTCTAATTTTCTGCAGCAGAGACCTCCTCCAAGAGAGGAAGGTGAGAATAAACCTGATCTCCTGGCCAGGAATAATGCTGTGCTTACTCTGTCCCCATTCCTAAGTGGAGATAAGATTCGTGGGGACTTGGGGGCAGGGCGGTGGGTGGGAGGAAGGGAGCAGCTGATGAGGGACAGGCAGTGCTTAGAGAAGTTCCATTTGCCAATAAATGGGCTCTTGTCTGTCAGGATGCAACCCTGATGTGCTAAGTAGAGTGGGAGAGAACTCGGAACGCAGTCTGTCACCCATATACATGATTCCTTCATTTATTCATTCAAGCACTGATCCAGTGCATATATACATCCATGTGCTGGATATGCCATATGTATTCGTTTCTTATTGCTGCTGTAACAAATTTCCACAAGCTCAGTGCATTAAAACAACAGTTTTTAAAATGATCTTACAGTTCTGTAGGTCATAGATCTGAAATGGGTCTCGTGGGACTAGAACCAAGATGGCAGCAGGCTCGGTGCCTGCCGCGATTTGCTTCTATTGGATTCACATCTTCCTACAGGTAACCCCAGACACCTGCATGTTCTGGCTGGACCCTTAGTGGCCATCATCTTCTTCGCTGTCCTTCTTTTCTTCCTCACTCGTCAGTGGTGCCCTGCCAAAGAGAGTGAGTCTCGGGAAGAAGAGGCCAGTGCCTGTCTGGGAGGAGTGGGGGAGCCAGGGAGCCTCCGTTTGCAGGCTGACTCCTGGTTCAAAGCAGGAGCCACAGAGGTCGGGCTTTCTAGAGAGAACCCCCATGCCCCCATCCTCATCAACAGAATGGAAAGAGGGAGACATTAATGGGATGTGTCTCTGAACTTCAGAGAGGTAGAATTTCTGACTCTACTTTTTGGCAGTAATTCCAGGCATTGGCTGCACCTGTCTGCGCTCTGGTATCTGTATCTATAAAATGAGAACCTTTGAAGTGTTTTTGATGACTTCTATTCCCTACAGATGCTGCTATAATGAGCAGAGAGCCTGAGGTGGACAGAATGGTGAGCAGGGAGGTAGGTTGTCCTCAGCTCACTCTCTTCAGTGCCATCTCATTTCCTCCTAGTCTCCACAAGTGTGTGCACACCCTCCTCACCATTTCCCATCATGCAGGACCCTCAAGCAGAAGACCCACAGGAGGTGATATACACACAGTTGGATCATTGCATTTTTATGCAGAAAAAAACCACTCCCACTTCCTGGAGGCCCAAGGAACCCTTGCACAATGACAGTGTGTACATGGAACTTGCAACATGCTGAGACCAATCAAGGCATGAATTCTATGCCCCAAGCACACACAGGAAGACCCTGAGGAGGCTCTCCACGGATGCCATAGCTCTTTCTGAAACCCCTCCTAACAACAGCTGGAATCTGAAGACAGAAGTCTTCATCTTCCCCTCACCCTAAGATGAGATAAATATCTCAGGACCCCCTAGAAAGCCCCCCATCCATTCTAGGATGCTATTATGATGATACAGACATTTCTAATATTGTCCACAAAATCACCTTTTCTTTTCAAGGGTAAGTTCTGACTTGTGTTGCTATGTTACTATAAACAAATAAACAAAACTATCATCTATCATCAATCATCTTTCTTCCCAGCTATTGTTGAATTTCATCTACATGGAATCACATAGTATGTATTTCTGTGACTGACTCCTTTCATTCAACATTGTATGTTTGAAATTTAATCCTATCTTTGCATGTAAGAGAAGTGTTTTCCCTCCTGTGTAGGAATCCACTGTGTGACTATGTCACAATTATGTATCTAGTTGTGTTGAGTCTCCCAAATTCTGATGTCTTAATTTCTTGCATTCTTTCATCCTTCTAGAGTCATCCAGATAGATTTACCCATTCCTATCGGAATCTGGGAAGCCTTGCTGGGGCAGGTCCAGACATCCTCAAGTGAGAGACACCTGGAAGTTCTGGTTGGTTGCCAGAGAGCACCTGGCTGGTGTCCCCAGCATGGGAACTGGCTCTCTCCCACCACCTTTGCAGCTACCACTTCAGGGCACATTAGGGGGCCCCAGGCACACCATGTCTCAACTCAGTACAGATGATTGCCCCCAAGGCTCCAACAAGGAGATCCCATAGGAGCAGGTGGATCTATCTGAGTGATTCTGGAAAAACAAATCAGTGTAAGAAATTAAGACATCTGAGTTTGGGAGACTTATCAGAACTATAGGTCTAGCAATATTTTGGATGCAAAATTAGCATCAAAGTTAGTGAACATCATTGTTAGTGAACAACAGTGAAAATGATAGGTGTCTGTGTGGCAATGACAGGAATTCACACCTTTGAGCACCTGTTTAATGAAATGTGTTTTACAAATGTTTCCTTGATGAGTCCTTATGTAAAATTTATCAGAGCTCCTTGTTATCTCCATTTTGCAAAGTAGGGAAATTCAAAGAAATTGTCTTGTCAAAGGCCACACAACATGGCATGGTTGTTGACCATCATGGGGCCCCAAAGAGAAGACCCTTGAGCCCATCCACTATCTGTTGAACCATCCCCTGTAAACAAATGTCACACCTTGGGCTTAGGGGATTGTTCCAGATTTGGACTTGAAGACACACTTGGGTTTTGGAACCAGGTGAGGCCTTGGGCTTGGCTCAAAAAATTTCCAAGAAGTCAGATATTTTTGTTCAGCACACATTGTGGGAAAACCAGAGCTATGATTAAGAAAGGAAGTTTTCAGCTTCCTCTCTTGTCATCAGTTTGTAGAGTGACCTGAACAGTGATGACAGGGACCGACAGACTGCACCCAGTGCATGGATCAGCTCTGTGGGGCTCCTGGTTTCTGCACAACAGAGGTATACAATAACCAGGGAAGGAAAACAAGCATATTAGATCTTACTGAGATCTGCAAAGGGAAGCATTGTGGAGTTACCTGGAATTCCCCAGACATCAGGGCATGGACCCATAACTATCACATGGACAAATGAGGTTTTCTGCAACCCCAGCCTAGATGTGGCTTTTTGAACACAGGGTTTCAGCATGGATGCTAGGGTTAAGGCAAGAGTTTGGAAGAGAGGTTAAGTTTCCATGTGGCTTCTCTTAGAGTGTTATGAATGAATATGAGAAGGTGAGTTGTTCCCCCAGACTACAATATCTTCCTTCTTGGTAGAGAAGCAAGAGGTTCCTCCAGAGTAGCTGGGAGGGAAAATTAGGGTGTTTAGGATAGGGTTGATTCTGGGAGGAACTTGTTGAGAACTCAGGGAACAGCAGATTAAAGGAACACTTTGAGGGTTTGTGCCTAGAAATGTGCTCTAGAGACCTTCCCATTGGACGATTCTATGTCCTGTGACCCTAAGTGGGGCCTACATCCTGTAGAACCTAAATGCCTCAAGGAAGGGACATGAGATGCTGTGGGATGCATGAAGCTCAGTCATGTCTCAGAACAAGGTCTAGTTCCTCAGCCCGTATGTGCCAGCAGACAGCACAGGACGCTGGTTCTCAGCTGGGGCAACGTTGCCCACCAGGAGTCATTATGATAATGTCTGGAGACATTTTTAGTTGTCATGACTGTGGAGGGGGCTGCTACTGACATCTACTATGCAGAGGCCAGAAATGTTGCTCAACATCCTTCAGTGTCCAGGATGGACTCCTCCACACACACAGGCAGCAGAGAATCATTATCCAGCCCTAAATGTCAATAGCGCTAAATTGAAAAAACCCTTGTCTAGGATACAGTGCTGGTCACCATTTCAAAACACTAGCAGCTGGAAAATATGACATATCCTAAAGTAAGCTCATTTTTTACAATAACAAAGGCATATTTTATTAGACAGTGATAGATATATATTATAGCTATATTAACTATATATATATAGTGACATTTCCATTTATTCTCTGACATACAATATAAAATATTCACATATCAGAATATACTAAGAAAAGCAACTTTCACCATTTCTCAAAATAGATCCCTCAGGTCTTTTCAAGTCAACCCTTCCCTCAAGGGTAAGTCACTATGTTACTACAAGCAAACAGACAAATCCACCATCTATCTATCATTGGAATGTAACATATTTGTCATGATCATCTTGTCCCAGGGTGAAGTGATCAAGTAACCCTAGCATCTCCCCTGGAGAGTCCAAGTCATGCTTCAGAGGTGGATATTTTTTTGGATGTTTAACAATTAGATTTTGTTTTGCTCCTTCTTAGCTGCAGGATCTTTGGCAAAGTCACTTCTCTTAAAGACTCATTTTCACTATTTTTAAAATCTGACTGTTGGTGGTGCCTTCCAAAAGATGTGAGAAGCTCAGGATTTTAGGCATTTGGTGTATTGGAAGGCAAGAGTATGTAGGTATGTATTATAATGAAAATGTGGTAAGTGTTAGAGAATTTGATTTGGAATATTTGACTTCCCAACCCATCTTACAGCTAAATATCTATCTATCTATCCAGTATCTGTATCCAGATATATAGATTGGTATAGGTATAGGACTTTCTTTCCCTACAGATGATGAGTAGCTCCTGAGAAAATTCCTTGGCATGCTGGCATAAAGAAAATCCCCAGTGCAAAAGTATATTGTCTTCCTTATCAAGACCAAGTGGATATACTTAGTCCCTGAATTCCAGAGAAGATACATGGGTACATAACAGGCAAGGACACATGGCTTTTGACTAAACAGTCCAATGAAGACAAATCTCTGCCTGTATGGCACCATCTTATACTCTGTCCCAGGCCCTTCCACTTGGATGTGGGTTCTGGTTTAAAGAAGGATTTGAGCCCCATTAGACATTGGTTGAGGAAAACACTCGTTTCTCATAGGAAACATAAGGAGGAAGATTGGTTTCCTCTTGGGCCCAACCCAAGAGCTATCCAGAACTAAGTTCTTGGGAAGGAACCATTACTTGTGGGGCAATAGATGGAGAAATTCTCTGACCAGAGACTCTGACCTCATACTTCCTGCTGATCTATCTAACTGTCTTACAAGGATCTGTCATTCTGCAAATGTGCACCAACAAGAGACTAACTGGGCTGAGGCTGTATCAGAATCATGGACCCCAGAGACACCATCTTTCTCTGTCTCAGTGAGTTCTCGAATGCAAGTGGGTAAGGGGGGGAAGATGGGGGAGCCCCAAAACAGTCAGTGTCCCTCTTACTATGAGGAATCAGGAGATTCTGACCTCCACATTGGAGAGTTGGCCTTTGCCCAGATATCTATAACTGTGTCTTCCCATATCCAAGTAGCCTGTGGGACATGTTCAACCCATGTCATGCTGTGTAGAGATCCATGATGGGTCCAGAGTTCCTGTAGATGAGAGCCTTAGGGCCTAAAATCTAGAAGATAAAACTAAAAGATGAGCCTCAAAGCTATGCTTGCTGTGGAAGAAAAAATGACACCCTGCGTGTCATTAGGCAGGGTGACTTGAAACAAACACTGGAAACTGGAAGACTCATCTCTCATGAATCTCTCTCTTCCAGTGCTCTGTCTGAGCCAGAAGATTCAGGCACAGGAAGGTAAGTGTTCCGGTAACTCTCTCCCAGCCACCTTATATCTTGGTACAGAAGGGTTGGAAGAACAGTCAAAAGCCCAAACAAATTCCAATTTTATTCCACATTCCAGCCATCTCTGCTGTGTTCTTCTCTCCAAAACCCTCAAACACGTTGTACTCAGACCTGGATTTAGTGTTTTCTTCCATTAGGCTGTCTGCCCTGATGTCAAAGACACATATTTTACTGAATGTTCACAAATGCAGGGGTGAGGAAGTTGGGAGCCATTGGTGATTGCCCAATATCTGTCCCTATGTCAAACCCACTTTTTTTCACAACCTAATTCTCTCCACTCTATTCACTTTGCTTCATCTAATGGGATGTTGCCTTAGTCCCACCCTCTCAAGCAGTCTCTGTAATGGACACCAAGTAGCTCTCAAGTATGAGTGTATATTGTCAGCTCCACTCCTGCCTTGTCCATCTGTGTCTTCTATCTTCCAGATCCTTCTAAAGACTGTAGCCTGGATTACTTGTGTGTTTAAAACACAGGTATCTTCATCTCCCTCGAACCCCTCAGGGGTCAAACTTCAGATAAACATACTGATGTAACGGTTGTCCCAAGCACTGCCTGCTCAGGTTGCATCTGCTCCCCTAACCCATCTTCCACTCTCCCACTGAACCTCTGCTCCTCACCCATGCTGAACTTACTTTAGTTTGTCCCTTACTTCTTTGTACTTCATTAACCCTTCTCCCATCATCCCTTCTACCCACAATGCTCCCGACCTGCCAGTCCACGCTGCCTAGGCAATTGCTACTC